ATTTATTTAATATTATTTATATAAGTTTTATAACCATTATACATTGTATCTTTGTGATATATATCCGTATTGTTAGTGATACGAACCAAATTGTCCTCATGGAGTTTCCTAATCATTTATTGGGCCGTAAATTGAGTTTTCACTTGTATTTGGCCCAAAATCATATCAGGCCCAAGAAGAGGAGTTAGGGCAAGTTTGCTTATTTCTTGCCCATCAAGTATCATCACCTATAAATATGGAGTTATTCTCAACTTATCACCTCTATGCTATGCTATCTCTTACATATCACACTCAATTATCTCTCGATAAAAACTGACTTGATCGTCGGAGCTTTCCCGCCGGGACCTCCCCCCCCCCCCCCCGGCGTTGCAGGTTCCTTCACCGGAGTTTGGATCACACGCTTTGAAGAAGGAAAGAAGCCCCACGGACTAAATCAGTTAGTTTATTGTCAATTATGTGTTGTGTCTTAATGGTTAGTATTCTTGTATGTTTTTAGATGGTCACAAGTTTGAATTTAGGTTGATGTAATTTTAGATTGGTGGTTTAATGATTTTAATGATAGAGCTGAATATAAATGAGCCCTCTCAGAATTCAGAAACACCTCCACCATCAAACCTTCTTCGATTCCCCTGCAATGGCGAAAAACTTCATTCATTTCCTGAATACCCTCTTCAGCCAAATGTCATGCCGCAAGAACATGGATGCCATCCCATCAACTCAATCCCATTTCCTTCCGCCGCGGGTGCCATCTTCCCGCAACTCTTCCCCTTCACCATCACTGACTTTTTCTCCGCAAACAAGCATTCCCTCCAAAGTGGATAACTTCCGACTAAGCCGGAGCTTATCGCTCAACATCAACCATCGAGGCGGTCAATGCAGTTACAGGGTGCGAGAAATTCCACTGGCGGAGGTCGGGGCAGCAGCCGCGGAGAAGAGAGCTCCGGTGCGCCACCGAAACCACCACCACCTTCGACTCGAAAGAGTGTTCTTCCATACAAGGAGGACCTCTACCGATGTTTCATTTGCGGCCGAACGCACAACTCGGCCTCCGGAAAGTGACTCACAACCAACGGCAAGACCACTTGGTGTTGATCGGCGAGACTCCGGTGCTCCACAAGCAATCCGGCAACTTCTTCCCCGAAAAGGAAGAACTTCGAGACTATGCGGCAAGCTCCGCATGCCCCCATCTTCCGGGAGAATCAAATGCAGCGGCGAAAGCAAGAATGAAGAAATTATATCACAAAAAACGCCAAGAGGAAAGCGATGCCGAAGCTAACCAAGCCTTAGAGGACTTTGCGCACGAAGAGGAGGATTCAGACGATTCAGAGTGATGAAGTGATTTGAATGAGAGTTGATGTTACTGGATTTTAATTTTAGGTTATCTTATTTAATTTAGAATTATGTTATTTTAATTTCATAGGTTATCTTATTTAATTTAGAATTATGTTGCTGAATTATTAAGTACTTATCTAGTTTGAGAATTTGGTTTAAAAAAATGGATGCTTCTGAAGAAAGTCTAATGAAATTGAGCAATTTTTTTTTCCCTCTTTTGTTAATCAGGGTTTGTAAAATGTTCAGACATGACATTATCTAACTTGTTTACTTCTAGTTCGGTTCAGAAGAGAATTTTCTCTACTTTGTCCATTTAGTTGTTTTTCTTGTTTGTCTATACTATTTATAAAAGTATGAATGCTAGTTAGGTGGTTTCTCACATTTTATGTATGGACAAAAATGACCCTTAAAATTAAAACTTCAATGTCAATTAAGTAAAATATGAAATATTAAATAGTTCAGTAATGCATATTAAGTACAATAATTAATAATATCTGATTGATTGAGTATTTAGATTTCGTTAAACAAAAATATTGTAACCACAACAACTTCAATCTGCGGGTAATCGTTGGTTGAACCAACACTCGATTTATGAAATTGTATTTTGGAATCATAATCAAACTCCTAACCTTAAAGGTTGGTTAATAGTCTTGTACATTTGAATTGTGAACTCCGATCGATTCTGACCCGTGAACCGTTGGTTCACGACAATGATCATGCCTCCATCCAGTTTGTCATTTATGTTTAATTTTTCATTAATATTCATTTGGATTGTTCTAAAAATATAATCAACACTCAATGGTAAATGAGACAACTCGATATCGAAAATAATCACAAGAACGAAAATGTTCTAATTAAAAAGAAAATAAAAAAAAACGACTACACATATGGTATTCAAAATTATAATGAGGATAAATAATCATGGAACTTAAGAAGAAATAGATATGATAAAATAAATATTATAGTTTGTATATATCAATATTCAAATCATATTCTACTATTTTAATATTTTAATATATATATATATATATATATATATATTAATAGAGACGTGCAACACACGTCACACCTTTCTAGTTACCTTTAAAACAGGTTGTTGCCTTTCATTACAACTTGTTGATTTTGCACAAAGGTAATGATTTGCCATCTTTTTATGGACCTCTATAGCTAAATACCAATATTTAAAAAATAAATAAATTAACATGTCCTCTATTCAATAATAAATATACTTAAATTTACGACAATGACGCAAACAACTATCACTTAAATTTCATAACTTAGCGCATGACGGACAAACTGAGAAAGCATATGATTATTGGCCAATCTATGTTTCAATCAGACTGAAACAACTTATATGAATATATGCGCGAACTCATGCTGCAATTAATTTAGACTTGGCATGGAAGTTAAAACATTATTAGGAACTTGCCACAATACCAATTTCATATGAGATGTAGCTGGGAAAGAAAAACTAAAAATACCCTATTTCTTTGAAAGAAAATTCCTTCAGCCTTTTAGCCAATTCAATTTCTATAGCTGCACATTGCCTAAATTAAAGGAAAAGAGTATCAAGAATCTATTATCTGTAAATAAGCACATTAGGGAACTACTTGTAGGAAATGAAAAGAGATGATAGTGTCTATATTCAAATTGCAGCATAAATAAAGCAAAGCTCGACAATTCGAGGTAATGAAACATACTCTGTATATTCATGGTATGTGAATATAGGCATTATAGAGAAGAAGCAACACAAAATCATCAAACTTTAAGAACCATGGTATAAATATTAAAGGGAATTTAGTATTCTTAGTAGTTTCGGAAAATATGAAAGAGAGATTATCATTACATGAAAAGAGTAGCGTTCACAAATTAAAAGTGCAATGTCAAATTCATTAAATGGATGAAACAGAAAAGATAGATCCCGATTCACCACAATTAATAGGAATAAATTGCAAAAACCACCCCTGTGTAATACCTAATTGTCAAATACCCCCTGACAAATAAAAATTGACTCAAACCTCCATGTGTAATCAAAGTCAAAGCATTAAGACCCCTGGAGGCAAATCGTGTCTCACACGCGCGAGTTGTGCGATTTTTCTTCACTTTTGCTGTGTGAAATGACTGAGTTGCCCCCAACATCTTTTTTTTTTTTTCTTTGCTCGTCATCGTCGTCACCAATATTCCCCTTTCCGTCAAAAGCTCCCAATCCATGGCTGTCGAAATTCCAGCTGTGGATTTGCAGTCATCTTCGCCGAAAAACCATGGCCGTCGTCTTCAATCGCCAGCAGTGGATTTTGTGTAACAATAACTATTAAAGAAGTCAACAAAATCAACCAATGGGAAGGATAAATAGGTATTCGAATCTCAAGTGAATTCCACCTTCACTGTGAGTTGCTTCGCCTACTATTTGAAGCAATTTTTTTATCGGATTCCAACACTATTGCACCTCTCTGATGTCCAACTTCTCCGGGAATGACGACGTCTTGCTCGCAGTTGTGGGCGGTAGATCTTAAAAACACGGTGGTTGTGGTGGTGTAGGAGGGGTGAATTGATGGTGAGCGGCGGAGCGGACGGAGGACTGGGAGAAATGGTGTGGGGTAGGGTGGTGCGCAGTTTGTGGGGTGTAGCGAAAAAGACGACTATTTTTCTTGTAGGGTTGATAGGAAAAACTTGTATACAAGCATGCAAAAGAGAATACATTTCCACTCAACAACATCATAAGACAGTTCTGAAGTAGTAGAAGATCAAGTACCTACAATATCTCAATCGTTTATCTACAAATAATCAACGAGGCTATAATTAACAATCAATGTAGAAAGACAATCTCAGTAAACCATAATAAACAAGGTTTAAGCACATTTTCAGTAAATCCTAATAAACGATTGAATGAACTCTCGTAACCCATATAAGATCGGAGAATAAGAGAAATAAAACTCTTAAAAAAAATGAAAAAGGAGAGAAAGATAGTAACCGTTGGGACCGAGAAAAATGAGAAAATAAAACATTTTCAAACATATTATATTCTGAAATGTTAAATGTCGTTTTAATTTTAGTAATGTCGTTTTGACTTCGAACCTGATTTTGACATATTTCTATTTTGATTTTGGCAAAATTCGAAACACGAAAATAGTAGTTCTTTGGGTTAATTTTCTAATCCAACTTATATCCGCTAGATTGGATGTTGTGTGACAAAGTTATGTATGAATGAATCACATTTTAAATTTTAGATACCTCAATGCATCAAAGTTGTGGGCAGTATCCATTGATTCATGTATATCTTTCTCGTCCGACATCCAATTTTGGTGATTCAAGTTGGATTAGAAAACTAACTCAGAGTACTACAAATTCTCTTTTTCGAATTTTGCAAAATTTGGAATTAAAAATGATCAAAATCACGTTTGAAGTCGTAACGATATTATTAAAGCTCGAACAACATTTATCACATCCCTATTCTATTTGACTCCTTGTAGCAATTTCAAACATTTTTCCTTCAAGAATAAAATAAATTTGGTTCTATTTTTCTTTTAAGACTTGATTATAACTAATAAAAAAAAATAGAGGGGCAAACGTGTCTTTTCAACAAAAAGCCTCAGGCTACGCCTGCTTTGACTTTGAACATTGGTAGAACCGATGTCCCAACTCCCGAAAACGTCAGCAAAAATACTAATTTAATATATAAACCCCCACCCTTCCAATTTTTCTCACCTCTCAGATTTTCCTTCTTACCGATCACGCTCGTAGAGAGAGAAAGTGATAGAGAGAGAAAGCAAGGCAATGTCGGATCTGGAGGATGTGCCGTCGGTGGATCTCATGTCGGAGCTTCTCCGCCGTATGAAGTGCGAGTCCAAGCCTGACAAACGTCTCATTCTCGTCGGTAATTTTTTTTGTTTTTTTTTTCACCCATTTTAACTCCGCCAATCAATCCCTGCTATTTCTTAGTTCTTACTCATCGGCCCTAATTTTTTGTTTTTGAATTGTATTGCTTTATGGGTTTAGGGTTTTTTTTTTTAAGTTTTGGATTTGAATTTATGGGGATTAGATTATATTTATAACAATGCTGGGTGTGACAAGATCTAAAAAATTGAGGGAGATGACTTTTGGTTTTGAAATTAAATTGCGATAATTGTTGGGTTAGAACTGCATAAGACCGATTTTTTTTTTCTTCTAGCAATGCTTAATCGAGGTTAATTTCTTTTAGATGTGGTATTCGGTGAGTTCATTGATGCGGATGAGTGTTTAATGTTCTCAATTCTGTTAATTTAAAACATCATTTCGCATCTCCTGTTTCGATTTGACTTGCTTCCGAGACTAGGGTGCATTTCTTCAAAATTGAACCTCTTCTTCGAGTTAAAAAGTGGAGCCTTTGTGTCGTTTATAACACAACGTGCATTTAATCTTGATTGATTAAATATTGCCAGAAGTATTTTGCTGGAAAAAAAAAGGACGAAAGCAGAATTGATCACTTTTAAAGGACAGCTTAAGATTGTTTTAGTTTATGTAAGTTCTAAAGTGCGGGAGACAATTCTTGAGTATTTTCAATCCCGGTTTCAGGATGAAGTGATTTAATATATGTATGGAGGACAATTAAAGTATTTTTCCAGTCAAATTTTGTGCTGATATGAGCGAGTTTTAGTAAATTTTGATGTACTGTTGTATCTGCAGTTATATGAGCGAGTTTTAGTAAATTTTGATGTACTGTTGTATCTGCAGTTATGGCTCCAGATTCTGTTTTTCTCAAACTAGTTGCTGTGAAATCCTAGTACAGCTTTCAAGAAAAAAACATTTTTTTCCAGCCAAAATATGTGGTATGTTACTTATCCCGTTAATCTAATGCAGAGAACATTTTTTATGTTACTGCAGGGCCACCAGGATCGGGAAAAGGTACCCAATCACCAATAATAAAGGATGAATATTGTTTATGCCATTTGGCGACCGGTGATATGTTGAGAGCTGCTGTTTCCGCAAAGACTGCTCTTGGGATTAAGGCTAAAGAGGCCATGGAGAAGGTACATTTCTGTGTAAAACCTGACCTGATTTCACATAACCACTACTCACCAATTTTTTTCTTTTTTTTTTTTTTTTTTATATTTTTTTTTTTGTTCTTTCTTAGGGAGAACTTGTTTCGGATGACTTAGTTGTTGGGATAATAGACGATGCGTTGAAAAAACCTTCCTGTCAGAAAGGCTTTATTCTTGATGGGTTTCCAAGAACAGTTGTCCAAGCACAAAAGGTTGAGGCTGTTTTATTTACAACTTGACCACCTGTTGGGTTAGTTGTAACAGTTATGAATTATGATCTAATCTGAACCACATCTATTTTCTTGATACAGCTTGATGAGATGCTTGGCAAACGTGGAGTTAAGGTTGACAAAGTTCTCAACTTTGCAATTGATGATGCTATCTTGGAGGAGAGAATTACTGGCCGTTGGATCCACCCTTCCAGTGGTCGTAGCTATCACACCAAATTTGCACCTCCCAAAGTTTCTGGCGTCGATGATGTAATTATAATTCTTTCTTTGTCTATCACTGCAAAGTTTCTGGTTTGACCTTTTGAGTTTTGTGGAAATCGACATAATTGTTGATTATTCTATTGCTAACGGAGTATAGATACCTGCTCTTTTAATTCAACTTTCCTGGCTACTCTGTTATTGAATTTCTCCCCACGGCTAGAGCTGATTAGTCTCCTTATTTTGAAGGTAACTGGAGAACCTTTAATTCAACGCAAGGATGATACAGCAGCTGTTCTCAAGTCAAGGCTTGAAGCTTTTCACAAGCAGACTGAACCAGTATGCTTTTATCTCAATCTTTTGATTTTATTGTCGAAGTACCATTTCTTATTTGAATTCACTTTCATTTGCCTTTGGATCCCCCATTAACTTCGATTTGTGTCACATTAATAATTTAACTAGGAAGAGATGAAAACTTGTGCCTGATTTTTTGCAAACGTTTATGTGTTTATTTCCCATGTTAGAGCCTAGATACCGGTATTTTCTAATCTTGTCTGCATATTTTCTGCTGCAATATATATGAGGCTATTCTTTTCCTTGAATGTTATATTATTTGAAGTCTTGAAGTTTTTGTTTGTTTTAAATGGTATATTTACCAAGTGCTGATATGTAGGCTAGCAATAGACGAAAAGCGTGCGGACTTGATATTACACTTAACATTTTCGTTTAATTAATTAAATAGATAAAGTGTAGCGTGCATACTTTTGCGAAATAGCTGTCAAAATAATTGGGGTGGATTGTTTTGAGAGCCGAATAATTGCATATAAAGAAGTAGTGGGTGAGTACCCGTAAACTAGGATTCACCTCGGAATAAATTTGCTCTGTTTTTTTAGCAATTTTCAGTAAATATGAATTATAACATTAAGCAAGCAGCCGTACTGCATAACTCTAATTTGGACTCTGTTTCATACTTAGGTGGTCTTTGTTCCTTCTCCATTGTTCTCAGTTAATCTGCTTCATTTTTAATTACCGGTGTACAATATTTAGCCCCTGAAAACTCAAATTCGTGTAATTTCTCTACAGGTTATTGACTACTATAACAACAAGGGTGTCGTTGCAAATCTTCAAGCAGAGAAACCTCCTCAAGAAGTCACTTCAGAGGTTAAGAAGGTGCTCTCCTGATCGAAAAATATGACATTTTTTTTGCCGACTAATCTGAATTTCCGACATTCTTGGTTATTGTATCCTGATACATTGTTTTGCTGAGATGGCAACACCGACCGGCGTTAGCTTTTGATATGTTTTAAATTTAGTTGCGAAATAATTTATGTCGACTATTTTGGATCTTTGGGCGAGATGAGAGTAGTTAGGAACATACATTTGAAGTTGCTTCTACTGATTCTCTATTCATAATCTTTCACAGATGATTTATAGTTCTGTTCTTATTTCTTCCTTTTAAGATGTCCTTGTTGTATGATCTTTTTAAAGGTTGATTCATAGTTGGAAGTGCAGGGATTAATAAAGTTAGTGATTGAACTGTCTGAAATGTTAAATGTCGTTTCATTTTAAAGGTAATTTTGACCATTTTGTAGTATGATTTTGGCAAAATTCAAAATACAGAAACCGTAATCTTTGAGTTAGCGTTCTAATCTGGGATGTCGCATGACAAAGTTATGCATAAATTGGTTACATTCTAAAATTGTGGACAATGTTTATTCATTAATGCATATTTTTCTCATTTAACATCCAATCTTGGTGATTAAAGTTCGATTAAAAAGCTAATTTAGAAAAAAACATAAAATGCTCTTTTCGAGTTTGCCAAATTGAGACTAAAAAATGGTCAAAGTAGTGCGTCAAGGCGAAACGATAACGACATATGACATCCTTAAACTATTCGTACATCGATGGGTCTATTAATATATCAACAAAATCACTTGTGATAAAACGTCTCGTTGCTAACTAAAATGCTAATTGCAGCGGGGCTTTTACTGAAATTGGTTTATTTGCAGCGGTAGTCTCATTTGTCAATTTTCGAACTTTCTAAAAAAATCGAAATTCTCTCAATTAAAAAAAAGTCGAAAACTTAGAATCCGAAGGTCGTTCGACAAATTCGAAACCAATCAACATTTTTTTCGATGGATGATCCATATTACTTTTACAAGGTAAAAAACGAAGATTTTTTTTAAGGGAGTGATTGTGTTGTGCAGTACGTTGAGTATAAAAATAAAACACGTTGAGTATAAAAATAAAAAGAAAAAAATTGAAGTGCCCGTCCCTAGAGGACGGAAATGTAGGGTTCAATTTTTTTTTTTTTTTTTTACTTTATTCCTTTAGTATTATTTGGTAGGGTGATGATGGTGATTCTAACGAAGAATTTGACGATGAATATGTAAACGAGTACAATAATCCCAATATGTGATATCATGTTCCTTAAATAATTACAAAATTCGATATTAAAAAAAAAGTTTATTATTTGCAGCGGGACTATTATAAAAAAAAATTAATAATCCGAAATTCGAATGTCTTGAGAGAGTTTGAGAGTAGGAGAGAGAATTTCAAATAAAAAAAATTAAATGAAAAAGATTCCTCAGTAATAGTCCCGCTGCAAAAAAATATAATATTACAAAATGAAAAATTGGCTAGACACCCCTTATTTTGGACTTATATAGGTAGAGATTCTAGTTGCTAGATGAATATAGGCATAGATATTTTGACCAAAAAAATATTATAAATAAAATAAAATAATTAGAAAATAGACATAAACACCCCCAATTAATAAGAAAACAAATCTCATATACCACTCATTTTTCTCCAATTTCACGTTTCTCTCACCCTATATTTAACCTCATCGCTCTCCATCTGTATGACTGTATCTCACGTCCGTCTCTCTCTTTGTGCTTCTCTCTTTTTTTTTTTTCTTTTTTTTTTTTCTAGAGAAGATAAAAAAAAAGATATTTTTAGATTATGAGATGATTTTTTGGTGAAAAAATTAAAGTGGACAACAAACATCCCTCCCCTCCCAAAAAAAATTCAGAAATTCAACGCCCCAGCCAAAATTGGCATTTAGTTTTTGGTATGTAGAACCTTCATCGTTTGTTGTTAGCAATTTATGTTTGCAGGTTAACTTCGTTTGTTGTTTGAAGAATTGCGTTTGGTGGTGAGATTCGATTCCTCTGGTTTACAATTTGTAAGGTATGTCTTAAGTTACATTTTCACTTTGTTTGATGTTTTTGTTGTTTGCAACGTGTTCCATAAACATTTTTTTGTTATTTTTTTTCAATGATGCTGATTTTTTTTCAGTTTGCTATTTGCATTTGACGAAATCATGAGTAGTTTTCTGTTTGCAATTCAATAATGCAAATTCTGGAAAAAAAATTCTAACAGTTTGTTGTTTGCATTTGGCGAAATCATAGGTATTTTGTTGTTTGCAATTCAATAATACAAATTATAATTTTCAGTTTGCTATTTGCAGTTAACAGAGTGAGTCGGAGTTCACGTAGTCATAGGCAGTGGCGTTTTTAGAGTATGAGTTTGTAAACTAAATAGTATATTTTATTTAACGAATTAATTTAAATTTTTAGTATATATTTAGAAGAGAGATATTTAAGAATTTATTTTGATAGAGAGATTTTTTGGGATTTGATTTGACTTAAGGATATTTTTGCCTTAATATATATTATTAATTTATTAAAATATGCACAATTTGACTTGGATTTATACACATAAATTATAATATGGAAGGACCTATAGCAAATTGCCCATTATAAAAACATACAACATTATTTTTACTTGACTAAAATAAAATAGTTCATATCAGTCGGAGTTGCAATATTTTACGAATATTTGCGTTACATTTTATTTTAGGGGTGAGCAAAAAAACTGAAAACCAATAAAACCGAACCGAAAACCGAAAAAACTAAGCCGATATGTACCGTCCCGACTTAAAACCGCATATACGGTAATTTTTTTTTGAAAAACCGAAAATATCAGTTTGTGTATGGAGAATTTAAAAATTACCGAACCGATTTCCCGAACCGAACCGAACCGATTTATACAAAATGATGTATTTTTGATATATATTATAAATACTTACCCTACGTGCCTCTATCTTTCGAGCGCCTCCATATGACATCTTTTTCTATTAATTAATTTTGGTTGTGACGTGTTTTTTATTAGTTAATTTTCGGTTGTTATTTGTTAATTTTCTCAAATAAATATAATGAAAGTCCAAATATATCGGTTTTATGCCGAACCGGTTCGAACAAATAGACGAAATCGAAACCGAAAATAAACCGAATTGATAACGAAACCGTTAACCGAAAACGAAAAACCGATTCACACCGAACCGAAAAAAACCGACATTCGGTTTTTAAAATATGAGAAACTGATATTATCGGTACGTGTTTGGTTTATTGGAAAACCCGAGCCGTACCGACCCGTGCACACCCCTATTTTAATTTTCAATTTAAAAAAAAAAAAATTAACAAAACTTGAAACTCAGGTATGTTTAAATTCAAAACATTTGATTGTTAATTTAACTTAATTAATAATTATAATGAACAAACTAAAAGAGCAAAAAGCAATTGAACTAGAATTAGTTGGGGGTCTATCTTTAAAAAAGAAAGACACCCTCCAAAAAGAGGCGTATGCCGCTTGTATAGCGGCAAGCACACGGTATTCTTTAGTAAAAGGCGAAAGAATAGTTCGCTATGTGCTTATCGCGCGGCTGCGTGATTTTTTCACTCTGTTGCCTTCTGATTTTATATTCACTTCTCCTCTCTAAATATGAAATTTTGTCGATGTGGGACAAAAACCACCTATATGGTTTAAACTTTAAACTCGCTGCTACGTGCAAAGATGAAGAATACAATTCACACACACACACACACACACTTTTATCCTTTTAATGATTAACTTTTTACTATGGGAATAAATTGATTCTACATTACACATAATTACATCTAATCAAAATCCATAATTTCTCAAATTGATCTTTAATAATAATAATAATCCATCGATAATTACGTACTCCAAACCTATTATCCGACTTGACTAATCGCCCTTTTTGATCTGTTCAAGCTTAAACCCCTTCATTTTCATAATTTTCTTCCACAATCGAATATGATAAGTGAGACTACCATTTATTTTCTTGAATAAAGGGAAATCGAAATGGTCAAGGTTAACCGTCATAAAGATAGTAAAGGACTAAAGGGTACTAACATAAATTGAACAACTAGTTCGAAATTTCCACGAGAGTAACTAACCAGCCACATTCAAGTGCAGAAATTCAGAAAAATAACTTGATAAAAAAAAAAAAAAAAAAGTTGAGCATCAAAGATCAAACGGCAAATCCCAGAAATCTTAGATATCGACGGTCAATTTAGCGTCCAAGTTGGAGAACTCTTGGAAGAAGGCCTTGAAGTGCTCATAGGAATGCTTAACATCATCCACCGCACACATTTCTCTAATGCTATGCATCGACAGTTGTGGGGCCCCCACATCGACCGTGCGAATGCCCACGCCACTCGCTATAATGGGCCCTATCGTTGATCCACACAGCATGTCACTACGGACCACAAAATCCTGGTTTTTTAAAATAAAAAATGGAAAAAAAAATATAATTAAAAATAGATCAAACATCAAAATAATAAGACAAATTATTTAATTAATGGTGAATTATAATATGGTCCGGCCAACCGAGGCCTTATGGGAGATATTTATCTAGTGTCGAACCTGTACAGGAAGATTGTGCTTGGCTGCTATTTCTCTGAATAAGAAGGAAGTTACTGCATTGGTTGCGTATCTTTGGTTTGCGTTGTGTTTAATGACCAGTCCACCGTGCATCTTTGGCTGATGATTTTCTTCGTGTTTGTCCTGATAAGAGAAAACACGTCACTAGATACATACAACAATTATATATCTATATAATAAATAAAATATACATATATCTTGAATTAGCAGCCAACAAAATTACATAAATACCATATAGTTCGGATGCAAGGCGTGTGCCATGTCAGCTGACACTAGATAACTCCTCTGAATTGCTATTGGTAGCATCTTTTGTAAGAAAAAAAAAATTGAGATTAGCAATCAGACAATATATTTTCTATTATTGCTTATATATCTCTTTAGTAAAAACCAATTACACATGAATAATTAAATAAATAAATAAATGGATAAATAATTTTCTACCTTGGTATCCGAGCTGAAGGAATACGTGATTCGTGACAAAGCATCCAAAGTAACAGGAGAACCAGCTCCTTGTGCTGAATCAGATCCAACTTCCTCGTGATCAAATAAAGCCACCATTCTTATGCCACTCTCTTCCTTTAGACTCTCCTCAGACGAAGTAGAATCTATCAATGCCTGAAAACGAAAATCACCAATACGTCAAATTGGAAAACGAAACATCGATTTGGTTTAATATATTCCGAATTTCCTTTTAATCACCAAAAAAAATATAAAAAATAATAATAAAAGATTCTTTTAACATGACTGATTTTTTAAATATGCTCCGACATTAAAACCTTTCAAGTAACGCTTTTTTGCTTCAATGTGAGGAATATTATAAATTCGTAAAGTGCAAAATACATACTTTTAATGAGCAAAACGACATGCAGAGATTATCGAGTCTTCCGGAGAAAATGAATTCCTTCAGCGCACCGCCGATAACGCTTTTTTGAGTATCACATGCTTGTAATTCAAAATCACATATGTCTGCTGGTTCACACAAAATCTGAGCAGCAATCAGCTGAAATAATAAAAAGTAAATGATTAGAGCACTTTATAGATGAGTTGACTAAATACGAAATTTGAGAAAAAGAAAACGAAAAAAAACGAGAGGAAAGACGGAAAAAAGATAAGCCACTCGTAAATATATATACCTGCAAAAGAAGGGGATGGTGCTTTTGATTTGTGTTCGTCTTTTCATCAACAGAGCCGTTCCCAGCAGCTGTTTTATTCAGTTCGGCCTTCATAAACGAGATATAATTTTTACTCGAGACGACGATACTAAAAAAAAATAAAATAAAAAATAAAAATAACGTTCATTTACCTTAACAGATGTAGCCAAAACCGGAGCAAGGTGGGTCTGTTTGTTAACCTTGAACCCTTCGTTCACATCCCTATCGAACAAAAGGCAACAAATATCACAAATTAAGCAAAGATAATAATTTAATAACTAAAACGAATCAATAAGTGAAGTAAGACTCAAAGATGCACCTATCTAAGTGGATAGCTAGAGTTGGAATACGCATAATAGGTTCTTCAATTCTAATAAGCCGATGCGAATAAGATTCCGAACCATCTTTCGTCTCTCTTACTATTACTCTACCAGCAATCGCTAAATCTCGATCGAACCACGTGTGCCATAAACCACCTCCATAAGGTTGCACACCAACTTCTAAATATCCACCTTTCGAAACCTGGAAACGAACATGATTAAAATTTTCCAACGATTTTATTTTTATTTTTATTCAAGGCATCAAATGCAACTACAAGATAAAAGTGATTACCTTTGAAACGGGCTTCAATTTTATGCAGGGGCTGTCGGTATGGGCACCGATTATGTAGATCCCGTTTCCAGCAATATATCTATTTCAAGATAAACAATTTTACATTAGCCGCTCGATTTCGTAATCGAAACTCCACATATTATATGTGTAATTGCCCATATAAGATAATACATCAAAAAATTAACATCGTCCGGATTCTCCGGAACCAGATTTCAGTTTATCTTAGTATTTTCTTTTTTCAATCGCTTATTATTAAAACATAACAAAATTGAGGCGAAACACGTACTTTTTACCAATGGCGAAAGCAACAATAGTAGAATGATTCCTGGTGAAGAAATATTTCTTGCCAGCCTCTAATTTCCAATCATCCCTCTCCGAAAGTTGCCCGTACCCTGCGCTTTTCAGCCGATTCTTCGCTTCGTCTAAAAAAACAAAATCAATACCCATCAACTGAATTTCCATAAACAGAAGCAACCACTAAGAAAAGGGAATCCATAAATTAAAAAAAAAAAATATTTCCAGTTGCATCAATTAATTAGGGATTAACAATTAATTAACCTCGGAGAACAGGAAAATATTATTCCCATTAACATTCAATGAACAAATGTTTAATCATCGGGAGAGAATGAAAATTAAGATTATATACAAATCTAGGAAGACAGTAAACAAGATAGATATATGTACACAGGCGATAGAAGTACGAGGAAGAAAGTAAAGAAATAATTACCGACGGCGTGAAAAGCTGTTGGAGAAGCATTCAGAAACTCGACGAGATCGACGGCGACTGGGTTTTCCATTAGAGGTCGAGTTTGTATTCAACTCAGCAGTCTGAGAGAGATGGTGTCTTATTGGAACGTTTATGTACTACTATAATATTTCCGGTGCACACCCACAAAGATGCTCAAATTGCAGATCAGGACAAGAAGTCAACAATAATTATGTTTTTTGAACACCAATATTAAAAAAAAAAAAAAAAAAAAAAAAAAAAAAACAATAAAACAATTAACTTATTGCACATAAAAAAACTAATATTGCAGTTGAACCTCTATAAAACCATACAGTCGGGACTAGAGATATTCTATTAATTTAACAAATTATGAAATTATCGAATTAATAATTTAACATATTTTCACCGATTGGGACCGAGAAAAACTATTATTTAAGCGAGATTATGAATTTATCTAGGTTTTGCTGCATATTAAAAAAATAAAAAGTTTGGCCTTAGTTGTGGGCCCCATTGGCCCTACCCCAGTGCCGGCCTAGTTCCTCTGCCAACAGTTTATAGGTTTAGCTCGGACCAGGTGTACTTCTTTATGTAGTTTACGAGCTCTTGTACAATATCAAAACTGAAATGATTTGTGCAGGCACAAATTAAACATTCAGGCACATTTTTTACCATTTCTCAAAAAACAAAAGGTAAAAAACTCAAAAACTCTCTCTACCCTTTCGATTTTCTTTCGCAAAGCCCGTGCAAATCGTCAACAGATCGGAGGTAATTTTTACGTTTTTACGATCCTCTTGTTATGTAGATTACGAATCCGAAAAAAAAAACGAAAAAAATCGGACTTTGGCCTGCTCGTGTGAATTTACGCGAGCACTTGGCAAGTGCTCGCGTAAATTCACGCGAGCAGGCCTTGTTAATTTTTTTTTTTTTTTTAATTGCTCGTGTGATTTCACACGAACAGAGACGTTCTGCTCGTGTGATTTCACACGAACAGAGACGTTCTGCTCGTGTGATTTCACACGAGCATATGTGTTTCGAATTTATTTATTAACACGAGTGGGTTAAAAAAAAAAAAAAAAATTGTTAATGTGCTCACGTGAATTTACGCGAGCACTTGCCAAGTGCTCGCGTAAATTAACACGAGCACTTGCCAAGTGCTCGCGTAAATTCACACGAGCACATGAATAAAAAAAAGTCCGATTTTGTGCATATGAATAGTACAAAAGGTAAATAGTTATGGTAAAAAGGTAAAAAATTATGGTAAAAAAGTGCCTGAATGTTTAATTTGGCCTGCATATATCATTACCCATATCAAAATTTATCTAATATACAATGTGTTTCGAATTTATTTATTAAATAGTTATATAAAAAAAGGATACTACAATATTTTTTTATTGATGAGGAACCAACAACTATTATTTGAAGTACAATGTGTACACGGACAATTCCACCCTTGGACAAGGGTGGATCCAAGGCCACCCTCAATTTAAAATATGTCCATATATATATATATATATATATA